AAATGTAATACACTCACGCTGCAAGTCAAAATATATCAATTAGAGATCAATGTAAAATAATTTATCATCACAATTATATCTAATATTGACGTTGTTTTATGCTTGTGGCGTTGAATCGCATATATGCGATATTAGGCGAGACAGTTATTCTCCACCGCAGAATGTGAGATGTGGATGTGATAGTGCAATTGTAGTTGGAAGCCTGTGGAAACTGACTTTTGTGATTGTTTGATTTTGATGATATTTAATTTTCCTCCTTAAAATGTTCTTGAAAACCTCTTGTGCGCACCTTTACCCTTTTTCCCCCGCATGCACTGTTCTATACTGAGTAGTGCTAGACTCACTCCTCTCTTATGGTTATACTTCATAAACTTATGGAGTATATTATAGTAAATTGGTGTGCCTTGCGAGATCTTTTGATATTTTGACTAACATGATAGTTTCAAAATTCAATGTGCAATGTAGGTAATGTGGTAGCCTGGGCATTCAAAAAGTTATTTTCTCTTGATTGCTTCTCTAATTGGGATTTTAAACATTTTTAGTTCAATTAGCATTAATTTTTATTATTGTGAGACCATTTTTCTAAAAGTTGGTATTAATTATTTAGGCTTCCTATGCTAAGTACAATTATTTCGTTTTACCTATGCAGCGGCCACAACTTTGTTTAGGTCATGTATGAATGATTAGTTGAGAAGGTTAGTTGTGAGAAGAAACTGAATGACTGATTAAAATCAATGTCTTGTACAAGATGCACCATTATAAATTTAGGACCAATTAACTGGAGCTAGAAGCAATATTAGGTTCCAAAATATGTAATTCATTCATTCGTATCCTTGATTTCCGTTCATGCCCATAGCTAACAGCAGAAGCTGAAGGAAAGAGAGAGAGAAGAAAGTGTTAAGATTGTGTCATTTGAGATAGCAATGCAAGAACCGAGAGAGTGAATCCCCCAAGTCAAATATCAAGCATTAATTGGAATTTTGAAATGTTAGTATTTTCACAATATTGCCCCTTAAGAAGTGGGAAAAAAATCACGTCAGCCAATCACCTCCACTGCTGCCACCAGCAACCCTCATAGGCGGCTGGAACTTAAACGCCAATGGCCACCCTGTGGGCAATTAGGATTTCTTGGGGTGAATGGTAAATGTGGGTTTCTATTCTTGGATTCTAAAAATGTTATATCCATTGAGCCACAAACAATTTGGTTAAGATAGTGCCACTGCCACATAATGTATAAAATAACTATCAAGCTTCAAATATTCAAACAACAGTTGGTTACAACACTTCATTTGTTATTTATTAAATTTCATTTCAAGATAATTTAATGAAGCGACGCAAATATCCTAAAAGAGTGGCCTTTTAAACTAAATTATTTAAACGTGAAATTTGTTAAAATGTGTTGTCATTTGCTAGATAAGAATAATGATTAGCTAACAAAATATAGTGAATAATAAAGTGTCATAAATGTCTTGAAAGAATGACTTTTCAATTATTCTTTTTTTTTTAAGTTTGTATTGACAACTGAAAGAGCAGTGGTTGGCAACTTAGGGTGCAAGAATTGACAACTATCACGGTAGGTTTGACAAACTAGCCGCGATAGTTGTCAATCCTTGCACCCTAAGTTGCCAATCACTGCTCTTTCAGTTGTCAATACAAACTTAAAAAAAACAGAAAGGTAATTTGGTAATTAAAAAAATAAAATTTATTGCAAAAAGGTCCCTTGGGACTTCAGAATAATTTCATGATTTCAAGGAACTTTTCTGTATTTGATTCACTTGGGTGGGACCTAATTGAAATTCTTCCTTAAATTATTCAATTGTGAAATCTTGTAAATGGATACAATGAATAGTCAATGGAGTGCAATGGCTAATGAAGTTAATTCCCTCTTCTTTTCATAGATCAATTTTAGATTGATTGGCTGGCAATGTGTTCTTCTACTTTTTAGATGGGTATTCAAAATATAATAAAGTGCTCTTAAAGATCAATAGAAAATGACATTCACTTGTTTTTATGGCACTTTTGCCTTTAATAGAAGGATGCCTTTTGGGTTGTGCAATACATCTGCCACCTTCCAGAGATGTATGTTGAGTATATTCATTAGTATGATTTAGGACATAGTGAAAGTGTTCATGGATGACCTCTTGGTATTGAGTGCATCATTTAAGGAGCATTTGATAAACTTGAATAGAGTGTTGAAGAGATGTGAAGGGACAAATTTGGTGTTGAATTGGGAGAGGTTTTCATTTTATGGTTATTGACGGCATATTTCTTGGGAATAAAAGCTTCTAAAAAGGGTAAATGTTGATAAGGCTAAAACTTTAGTGATTGAACTACTTTCCTAATGTCAAAGCTATGGGAAGTTTTTTGGGCCATGTTGGATTCTATTAGTGGTTCATCAAAGACTTCTCCAAAATTTCAAAGCACTTTTCACAATTACTCGAAAAAGACACCTCTTTCAACTTTAGTGAAGAGTGTATGAAGGCTTTTGAAAAGCTCAAGAGAAGATTGATTTCAACTGTAACATCCTAAGTTTTATCAGGTTTTAATAGCCTCTTTTGGGTTGATTTTGAAGATAGATTAGCAATTTAATCTTGATCTTGGTGTTTGGGTTGAATTTGAGGTATGTTGGAGGAATAGGTGGACGTACCCCTCACAGGGTATGTTTGCCGCGGCACACAAGGAGTTTTAGAGGGGAGTGTCTTCTCGGGAAGGTTTGGCCGCGGCGAAGTCTTGGGGACGCCGCGGCGAAGTTGTTCAGGTGAGCGAGGTTTCCCTCTCGGGAAGGTCTCGCCGCGGCGAAGGTAGGGGTAAGCCGTGGCGAAGGTTTTCTAGGCGAGCGAGAGTTTCCTTTCGGGAAGCTTTCGCCGCGGCGAATATTGGAGTTCGCTGCGGCGAAGTGGGGTTTTCAGGCGAGTAATCCCTCTCGGGATTAGTTCGCCGCGGCGAAGATTAGAGTTCGCCGCGGCGAAAGGTCCCGAATCTATATAGTCGCGGGAGGGGTTCAGTGTGCGAAAATTAGAAAATCTGAAGGAGGAGAGAGGAGCTCTGCTAGGGTTTCGAATTTTGGCTTGGAGGGGCATTTCTAAGGATCCATTATCTCAAGTAAGTGACTTTAACCTCTAATTTACTTTCTTTTTTGGAATTTCTGAGGATTTTTAGTGGAACCCTAGGATTTTCTAAGTTGTGATGGAACTGAGGTTTTTGACCGATTGTTTTGAGTTTAATTGCTTGCTTTGGGTTAGTCTAAGTTTTTAATCGGTGTAGTTTTCTTGGATTTAAAGAATCTTGAATTTTTGGAGTTAGGGTTTATGGAAATAGATGATTTGGGATTGAGGATGACAATGTAGAGGTTGATTCTGAGTTTTGTGAATTGGGTTATGTTAAGGAGGGTTAAATTGGATGTTTAATCGGTTTAGATTTGTTGTTGGAACCTTAATTGCTCGAATGGGATGTTTGGGTATAGAATTCCTATAGTGGGTCCTTGAGGTTATGAATTTTAATTGATGTTTGGAAAGGAATTAAGGTTTAATGGATTAGTATGACTTTGGAGTGTTGCCTTGATAGATATATCCTTTGAGTTGGGTAGAGTTTTGGTGGGAGATAGGAATTTTGTGTCCCCAAGTGTTGTTTTGACCATATTATTAGTTTGAAAGCTAATATATGATGGTTGTGTGTTTGTGTGCTTGTGTAGACCGGTTGTGAGTCTTGGTGGTGCACGGGGCCACATTGTCGGTTTGTTATTCCTTGCTCAGGCGAGAGGTAACCACTTTCCAATCCTTAGTACTTGCTTCTGTGGTATTGTGAGTAGATTTGTGTTTTGTGCTCCAAGTAGTAATTGTGTTCAAACTATATGTTGTATATAAAAAGGGAAAACCGTCTTGTGGGGTTTGATTGATGATGAATGAAATCTTGAAATTGTGCAGGATATGCCACTGAATGAAGTTCTTATGAGATGTTCAATTACTATTTGATTATGATTTGAGCATGATGCATGATTCGGGAATTGGTGAGAGTTTTTGATAGTTACTACCACGTGGTAAGGCCTCCATTAATGCATGATGGTTGGCTTAGTACGTCCCCCATAGTGAGGGATAGGCCTTTTGGCTCCCTACGTCTCCCAGAGTGAGGGATAGGCCTTTTATGGCTCCTTACGTCCCCCATAGTGAGGGATAGGCCGGGTTCGGCTCCTGAAAATCCCCGAAGTGAGGGATTTGGTTGATGGGATTGCATCATTGCACTTGCATAACTTGTTGTGGCTATCTTGTTATCATATTATTTGTAAACTGCCCCACTTGACACCTCACGAGCACTATTTAGTAGTACCTAGTATTGGAAAGGTTGGTTACTGGGACTTTGTCTCACCCGTGGTTTACAATGTTTTCAGGTGAAGGTTCTCGGCGAGGGCCATCGGGAAGAGACGCAGAGGCTTGAGCTTGGTTAGCTTTAGGCCTCTAGCACTGGTATATGTATGGCTAGTATATATTGCCACAATTAGGACTACTTTTGAAAATATTTTGATTGCCCGGCTTTATGGTAAACCAGAGGAAGTGTATCTTCTCACTTGTAATTGGCCGGAGGCCTTTTCTATTGTTTGTAGAACTTTGATTTATGTTGTTGGAAACTATTTATGTGGGCTGATGTAGATGTGTTTTGTTACCCGGGCTGGAGGCTCGGAGGCCCAGTGGATATGAATGAATGATTTTAGTTGCATGCAACGGATTACGGGTTGACCCGAGTTTGAAAGTCAATTTCTAAAAATATGAAATTTTCCTTCTACTATGGTAGCTTATTTTAACAGATTTCCTTTTCTACCATAGTAGTGGTTTTGTGACGAGTTATAATGTTTTGAGGTTAAAGGGTCTTACAAATTGGTATTCAAAGCCGGTTTGTTTCTTTGAAATTGTTTCTTTTCCTAATGGCAATATACATACTTCATACATACCTTCCCTCTTTGTTTTGTGTTTCCTTTCTTCTTTACTAATGAGGGTTTCCATCCTTAGTTGGGGAGAGGAAGGATGGTACGGACACGTCAAACAGATCCAGCCGGTAATGGACCGCCTCAAGAGAATGAGGCTTTTCTGAGACAAATGAGGGAGATGATGACAGCGGTGGTGGATGAAAGGTTGAGGAAGTTTGAAGAAGACTTCACAAGGAAGCACCAAGAGTTGGTCAATCAATAGGACCGAGAGAATGAGGTGACCATGGAGGCACAAGGAGAAGGAGGAAGGGGGTTTAGAGGTGGTGATCGAGCTGGAGATTTACCTCAGAGGGAGGAGTATCGAGCAGCTAGCCAAGGAGGAGATACTTCAGAGGGAGTGATTTACCCTCCGCTACTGAATGACATCACCAAGGTATGGAGAGAGGTGCATCGTCATGATCTTCCGCAGTTCAAGGGAAGTTTGGAACAGTCAGATGCAGAGAAGTGGATTGAGCGGATGGAGACAATCTTTACTGCTGTTCCTTGTCTTTCCCCGCTCAAGGTACAAGTGGCGGTTACCTATCTGGTGGAGCAAGCAAGGCATTGGTGGGATAGTGCAAGACCTTCTGATATATCTCAGTTGGACTGGGATACCTTCAAGCGGATGTTCTATGATCACTTCTTTCCGAAGGAGTTGCGAATGGAAAAGCAATTCCTATTCTACTCCTTGAAGCAGGGCGAGATGCACGAGGATCAGTTTATCACAAGGTTTATAGATTTGGCAAAGTATGTGCCCAGGCAGACGGAAGATCATTCACTCTGGTTAGCTCAACAATTGATGAACTGTGCAAGGCCGGAGTTGAAACAGCAGTTGGCCTTGTTAGAGGTCAAGACCTTTGAGGAGATGTGTGTGAAGCTGCGGGTTGCGGCTAGAAGGACAAGAGAGGTGGTAGAGGCAAAGAGGGCTGAGAATCAAGCTAGAGCAGTCTGTTATCCTGGTCCTACAGGAGGAGTGGGGAAGAGGAGTCAATACAGCTCTGGGAGCTCGAGCAGCTCAGGGAGAAACAGGAACCAAGGGCAGAATCAGAGGATGAACGCTCAGAGGGGCTTTATGCAAAGGCGCCAGAATCCAAACAATCAAGCTGGCAGGGGACAGGGCTCCCGTCGAGATTCATCAGTGACCACCCCGAGTGTTACTGGACCGTGCCCCAGATGCGGGGGTAGGCATGCGGGGCAATACTAGGAGTGCTTTCGATGCCACCGGTGGGGACATATTGCCAGAAACTGTCCAGAGAGTCAGCCGACACCTCAAGCTGGCCGTTCTATTGTTCCAGGACGTGTCTATGCGATGACAAATGAGGAGGCTTCTGCATCTCCAAACTTGATTCGAGGTAACATTCTACTTGAGGGACATGTTATTTCTGCTTTGTTTGACTTGGGTGCTACGCACTCCTTTATTTCTGTGGACTGTGCTCAGAAGTTGAGCTTGCCTGTGGTTGAGCTACCTTATGACTTAAGAGTGTCTACTCCTGTTGGAGTCACTGTCGTAACTGGAAGAGCGTGTCTAGAGCTTGCACTTCAGTTTGAGAATCGAGATTCTACAATAGATTTGTTTTGTCTACCTCTGAAAGATATCGACGTGATTATTGGCATGAACTGGTTAATGGCCAATGGAGCAATCCTTGATTGTAAAAGGAGATTGGTGACAATTCCGGTAGGTGCCTTATGTGCTGAGATGTCAAGTGGTCCAGTTTTGTTGTCAGCTGCTCAAGTAGAGAAGGCGGTGAGGAAAGGGTGCCAGGCCTTCATTGTCTTCTTTTCAATTAGTGAGGATGAGGCAGGAGGAATTGAACAGATAGCTGTGGTGAGGGACTACCCCGAAGTGTTTTCGGATGAGGTTGCAGGACTACCTCCAGAGCGAGAAGTAGAGTTCTCCATCGAGTTGGTTCCGGGAACCACCCCAATCTCCAAGGCTCCCTATAGAATGTCTCCTTCAGAATTGGTCGAGTTGAAAAAGCAGCTAGAAGAATTGCTAGAAAAGGGACTTATCCGACCGAGTGTGTCACTGTGGGGATCGCCGGTTTTGTTTGTGAGGAAGAAAGATGGTAGCTTGAGGCTGTGTATCGACTACCGACAGTTGAACAAGGTCACAATCAAGAACAAGTACCCGTTGCCTAGAATTGATGACCTATTGGACCAATTAGTCGGAGCATCAGTTTTCTCTAAGATTGATCTGAGATCAGGATACCATCAGTTGAGGGTACGAGCAGAGGACATTGCGAAAATGGCCTTTCGAACTCATTACGGACATTATGAGTTTTTGGTGATGCCTTTTGGACTGACAAATGCTCCAGCTGTCTTTATGGACTACATGAATCGGATCTTCCGACCTTATTTGGACAGATTTGTGGTAGTATTCATCAATGACATTCTGATTTATTCTAGAAGTGAGGAGGAACATCGAGAGCATCTTCACATCGCACTACGGATATTGAGGGATCACCAGTTGTATGCTAAGCTGTCAAAGTGCGAGTTTTGGCTAAAAGAAGTGAAGTTCTTGGGTCATGTGGTGTCAGCTCAAGAGTAGCAGTGGATCCTAACAAGGTGGACGCGGTACTTAAGTGGGAAGTCCCTAGATCGGTAACTGAGGTGCGGAGTTTTGTGGGATTAGCTGGATACTATTGAGGTTCATCCAAGGCTTTTCTCAGATTGCAATGCCATTGACTAAGTTAACCAAGAAGGATCAACCGTTTGTTTGGACGGAGAAATGTGAATCAGCGTTCCAAGAGCTGAAGACCAAGTTGACTACAACTCCAATGCTTACTCTTCTAATCCCCGGAGTACCTTATGTTCTTTACACCGATGCGTCACTAAAGGGTTTGGGTTGTGTGCTAATGCAGAACAAGAAGGTGGTGGCATATGCTTCCAGGCAGCTGAGGCCACATGAGGAAAACTACCCAACCCATGACTTGGAGTTAGCAGCAGTAGCAGTAGTTTTTGCACTAAAGATCTGGAGCATTATCTGTATGGCTCCCAGTTCGAAGTCTTCAGTGACCATAAAAGTCTGAAATATTTGGTGGATTAGAAAGAGTTGAACAACGACAGCGTCGTTAGATGGAGTTCCTAAAGGACTATGATTTGAGATTAAGTATCATCCTGGAAAAGCAAATGTGGTAGCGGATGCTCTGAGTAGAAAGGCAGTGCATGTGTTTTGTATAAGCTTAAAGGAACAATTCTTGCTCGAGGAGTTATTAGAGATCCCAATTGTACCATCGGAGCAGGCTACTTTATGTGCAGTGCTCGGAGATTATGAATTCTATCAGGATTTACGAGCAGCTCAATGGGAAGATGACCAGTTGGCAAAGATTCGGGTAGAATTGGAGGATGGCCCAGTACGGGACTATGAACTTGGAGATATGGGCATCCTGAAGTATAAGAACTGAATTTGTGTTCCCAGGACGAGGAGATTAAAAGAACTATCCTAAGGAGGCTCATCGAAGCCGTTACGCCATCCACCCCGGTGCAACCAAGATGTACCATGACCTAAAGCAACAGTATTGGTGGCCCAACATAAAGAAGGAGTTGACTGACTTCGTACTTCGGTGTTTAACTTGCTAGAAGGTTAAGATAGAGCATCAACGACCTAGAGGTTTGTTACAAGGGCTAGAAATTCCTCAGTGGAAGTGGGACAGCATCTCCATAGACTTCATTGTAGGTTTGCCAAGGACACCCGAAGGGTATGATGCTATTTGGGTGGTGGTGGACAGATTGACAAAATCTGCTCACTTTTTACCCTATAAAGTCAATTATACCTTGGAGAGAATGGCCAAGTTGTATATGGATGAAATCGTCAGGCTTCATGGTGTTCCGTCGAGTATAGTCTCGGACCGAGATTCGTGCTTTACTTCTAACTTTTGGAAGGCGGTGAATGCGGCTTTGGGTACTAAGTTGAATTCAGTACGGAATATCACCCACAGACCGATGGACAGACCGGCAAGAGGACAATTCAGACGCTAGAGGATATGTTGAGAGCATGTGCCATTGAATTCAAGGGAAGTTGGATTGATCACCTACCCTTAACTGAGTTTGCCTACAACAACAGCTACCATACCAGCATCCAGATGGCCCCTTATGAAGCACTCTATGGCCAGAAGTGTCGATCGCCTCTTTGTTGGACGGAACTGAGTGAAAGAACGGTTTTAGGACCAGACTTGGTAGATGCCACCACGAGAAGATTGAGGTCATCAAGCAGAAGTTGTTGACCGCTCAGAGCCGGCAAAAGAGTTATGCTGATAGGAGGAGGAGACCATTGGAATTTTGTGAGGGTGACCACGTGTTTTTGAGAGTCACGCCGACTACTGGTATTGGGAGGTCCATTAAAGTGAGAAAGCTATCTCCTAGATTTCTTGGACCCTTTGAAATTCTGGAGAGAATTGGAGAAGTAGCCTATCGAGTTTCTTTGGCACCGCACCTGTCCAACGTACATGATGTGTTCCATGTGTCCCAACTAAAGAAGTACCACCTTATCCGTCTCACATCTTAGAGCCTGAGGAGGTGGAGTTGGATGACAACCTAACTTACCAGGCTGAACCGGAAAGAATCCTTGATGTGAAGGACAAGCAATTGAGGAATAAGACCATTCGATTGGTGAAAGTCTTCTGGAAGGGCATGAGTCCTGGTGATGCCACCTGGGAGACAGAGGAAAAGATATGACGTGATTACCCTCGTTTGTTTTCTTAGTAAGTGT